GTAAAATATAAAAAAGGGCTGTGAAAGCCATTCTTGAACTGCCCTAATAAAATCATCATCTTGTCAATTTATGGTCTTTTCATTTTTTCAGCTTCTTTATCCTAAAATTGAAGGTGTTTGTGCCATTTCATTTCTCTTCTTCAAATTTTATACACTCATTCATTACCTTTTTTATGCTTCCTTCAAAGTCTACTGCAGAGTTTGATTTTTCTGTTCTTTCTTTCATTTTTTGACTTGGGGAAATGAATAAACACACTTTTGTTGCCTGTGATGCTGCACAACACATTGAAAACTGACTACACCTTCAGCTTCTGAATTTTGCTTCAACTCATCCTCTGTTAGATAATGCATGCAACGGTGGCACAGCTAAGCTAAGTTAGCGCTTAGCGGTGCATTAGCTTAGCAATTTTTTTCCCGCGAAGCTAGTGCAAAATCCTTAGCGCGTGTCAGCTAAGCTAAAGCAATCCAGGATTTCCTTGAGCGGGTGGGTGCTAAGCTAATTAGCTTAGCGGGTCTATGTACCGATAAGCTAAGACCTTCAGCAGGCCAGATGCCGCTAATATTAGCGGGTCTTGATAGCCAGGGGCAATAGCCCCTCTATTTCTGCTCAAACCCGCTGTTGGGCCTTGTCTTTGGCCTGAATCTGGGTCGGTCTTTTATACACTTCTTTATTGTGTTTTTGAAACTCCCACATCTTCAGCTCCAATCGCATCTCTCCACCCCCAATCCTACCTCGATCCTACCAATTCACCTCCGATTCCACTTGGCCAATCATAAACGACAAACCCAACAAAACAAATACTGACAGTCCAAATGTTACAAAAAAAACTTCTGAAATCAGAACACGATAACAGAAATAAAACTATTAATTTCAGAAAAAAGAAATTCAAGCACATATAACAACCAAGATAATCCAAAGTTAAACTTGGTATTTCATCTTTTAACATGCATTCAAATCAATAGATATCAATCAATAGATATTAAACTTCATGAAACAGATCCTCAGATTACAATTTGATTTACTATTGATATTTGTCCTTTTATACTCTGATTCATTACAAGATGACTTAATAAATGATACAAGAAAATAGCTTATAGATCAAGATGAAAATCTATCCTAGTTTCACCAAGTGAAGAAAATTAAAAACCCAAATGACAATCTTGCCAAAAGTGTTCTACACTCAATAAGGACCAGGCGCACTTTGTCCAGATTGTTGCACATTGTTAGCAGGGTTTCCACTGCTAGAGTGGTTTTTGAATCTGGGATCTGCAGAGGAATTCGGTTAGAGTGCGACTGACATGCTACAGAGTGTCACTCGCTCACCTATCTAAAACCATGCACAATGTTTAATATGTCCAATGATTAAGTTTACCTCGGCCTGAATGCTGAGCTTGTGTTATATCTAATTCAAGCTGCAATGCTTTCCCTTTGAAAAGATTGAACAGAAACGAGTAAGATTCTGTAGCTCCAAAAATCACTACAAAAGGGCTACCCCAACATGAGAAACAAGCAAACTAACCACATAGAGTTGGATTTTAGGAAATTTTTGACTGAGGAGAGCGGATAACACAATCGGGCAAACATATAAGCAATTCCAGCATGTGTAGCTTACATGCATTTCCACACCCAAGACCTTTCACAGAGAAGAACTCCCAAAACCCATGGCTCTTTGCTGTGGTTTGACCTTGCAAAGTTCATGCGGACAACAAAATTTGGAGAGAGGGGCAAATAAAATCACTTTCCAAAAGGCCAAAAAACTGAATGTTTGACAATGATGATGTTGAATAGTGAGACAATCAGAAGGTCCAGAAATCTGCCTTTTTGATTCTTTACTATGCAGGGAGAGACATCCGGAGTAAGGGGTAGATGACCATCATACACTCATGATAGATGAATGGATGATGTTGTGCCTCACTGAAACTATGTGAGGCGCGACAAGAAGAAAACGAGTATCTTGCTGTTTGGACTGTAAAGGACATCTCAAAAGGACAATTGACCCAAATTTGAGACAAGAAAGTGAGAAAACGTGAAAAACGATGCAGTCTCAAATGACTCAAAATTATCATCTATTCATCTAATACTTTAAATATGATTTTATTTGATCAAACTTATTTACAACTTTCCAAATTTAATTGATTTATTTGACTTTCACCTTTGCAAATGGTATCATAAGATGATTATTCTTGGATTTTACTCAAAGTAGCCCCCCCATGTGAGCTTTGACTGCCCCCTTTTAGCCGGTGAAAAGAAAACTGTTACTTTATAATACAAACGTGTGATGGGAAGGGGGCAGTCTGGAACAGGACCCAGGATTGTGCCTATAGAGGTCTGACAAAACCCCTGTTTCAGTTTTTGGGCTCTACACAACACACCCCTCCGTGCACCAGGTTCCAGAGCACTCCAAAAGATGCGCATGGAGTAGGGCTATCAAACAAGCCTACTTTGAGGCTCTCAACTTTGCTCACTTGGGCGCAAAATCAATCGGCACAAAATTTTTCTGTGCCTCCAAGGCCTGATTCTGATGTTTGATTTTGAGGCTGGTTTGACTGTTACATCCAAATAACTCGGGAACTATAGGTGCTAGAAGTTTGAAAGCTAGCTTAAACAAAAGCCTTTGATCTCATGTACATTTCACACTACTGTAGGTCTTGTAGATATGACATTTAGTGCCCGAAAACCTCGTCAACAAAATGTTGGATGTTTTCATAACAAGTCTGGCAATCTCATTGCGGTGGAGGTTTCTTGATCTCTCACTCAAATCTCTATTTCCTGGACTAGTTTGGAGAATACAGGTGCTGTGTTCAAGACCGCCCGCTTTATTCACTAAAAACTTGCAATCAGCTCTAATCAGCTCTCTGGACCGCCCCCTATCTTGCAATAGGCAATATTTTGAATTGAAATACAGCATAAAAGGGGGCGGTCAAACCTCACATGGGGGGGCTGCTTTTGGTAAAATCCTTATTCTTTCCTTTTTCAAGATCAAACATTTCTTTTCAAGTAATGAATAAATTGCTGCTAATCCCACTAATTAGCGGTTTAGCGCCCAAATTCGTGCTAAGCTAAGGCCGTAGCTTGGCGGGATCCTTTTCTGGGTGCTAGGCTAATATCCTAGCATTAGCGGAATTGCGCTAAGCTTAGCATTAGCAATTTTTTGCCAAGGTGGCAAAAAACCTTAGCGTAGCTTAGCAAGCCACCGTTGTTGCATGTGCTCCACGTCAGTCATGCAGTATGGCAACATTTTCATTTTTCATGTATTCACCTGCTTTGGTCAAATGATACACTTCCCAAGTATTCATACAATTGAGGCACTGTCCTCTTCTTTGCACTGGAGGACTGAAGACACTTTCAAATTCTCCATCTACATACATCCAAATCTACTAACATCCATTATCATTGTGGTCATCTACTTGACCAATAGATTTTAGTTGAAAGGAACAAAGTCAGCATGATTGTGTTCATCTCTGTTCATCTACTTAATCAATAGATTTCAAGTGAAAAAAACGAAGTTGCCAAAAATTCATGACATCAAAGAGATTGTATGCTCTGAAATTCTTCATCTTCATCTGATTGGTTTGAAGTTGAGTTGAGGTTATTCCATTGACCTATTTCAATTCCAAAAATAACTAACAGTTGAAATTTCATTGATTGGCATTGAACATTCTCCACTTGGTTCATGTGGCTGCGAGGTTTGGACTGCATTGGATGTGAAAGGTGAAAAGGCAGTTTTGATTGTTGACTTTGGTGTTGGAGGCCGGGTTGAGTTTTGTTTTTAACGTGTGGTAAAATTTAACAATTGACTTGCAAATTGATTGAAAATCAACTAGCGCGGGGCTAATTCCTCACCAGTGTTGAAAAGGCCCCACAATCATAACACTGCTTCAAGGAGCTGTGTTTGTTCCAGCTGCTTGAGCCGATCAGCTCAAAGTACATAAGTTACCTGCGCTGCCAACTGCTGCCAAGCACCGCCGAAGACCGAGGAGAATTGGCCCTGGTCACGTAGCTTCGAGGACCTCTTGCATACTTTGCGCGTGGGAACGCCGCGTGGCAACCGGCGTCGGCGAAAGGGTAAACTCAACGAAATGCACTTTTGCCGGGACATATATGGTGGTGAAAAAGATAAAAAAAACTTATATGTTCGAGTACCAACTATTGTATGTACTTCAAGTGGCAGAAGTGGCAGTGTACCGAAATTGATTTCTTTGGCCAGTACTCTACTACTCCAGTTAAGTCCAGTATGTAAGTAAGTACCAACATCGCACGCTGTCGCTGCCGTCAATTGCTCCCGAAGGCCCCTGACCGCATCGTTTGAGAGAGTCCAAAGTTCAAACTAGCTGACAAGTATCTTTAGCTACACGTTGATGACGTTGACACAGTCAGGCTCGCAATCGGGCGAGAGCCTGAGTCAGAGTGCTAGTCAGAGTCAAAGAGCCCAAGCCAAATTGAATACGTATAAGAAGAGCGTATACTCAGATACCTTTTTTGTGACTCACCTTGTCCTAGCGGTCTCTCCGCGTATCTCTGATAACTTCCACAAGGCTTTCTACATATATTCAAGACCTCATAGAAATTGCCACCATCGCTGGGGTAAGCATCTTTGCAATCTGTCTCTTCACCCTGAGCAGCATTCAGACATCAGCTGTGGCTCAATCCATCCTCTCCCTTAACCTTTTCCGCCTTCTTGGGGGCTCCCTAGCCGATTGATCCACGATATGGCTTCAACTTGCTGTTCACACCGAGATGCGGAGACGACGGGCGCACTTGGGTTCAAGAATGACGATCAGTATGGGATTGACAGCTGCCCAGAGCAGAGTCAAGTGTGTACCAATTTTGATTCTTGCTATTGGTGCCATCACATGTGATTAATGCTATGTGCATCCTTAGATAGATGCTTTAGCCGAGAAACAGGCAGTTCGAAAACTTGATCTAGCGTGAGTCAACGTTTCTGGACAGTGAGTGGCCGCAAATCACACTGATATTGAATGTGAGCTTTTGCAACAGGGTGATACCAATTGTATCGGTGTTCTACTTCCTCAGCTTCCTTGACCGTTCAAATCTTGGTTTGTAACAATGGTTTTTCCCTTAATAATGTTTGGCTCTTAACTGATGATGGCCTCACGAATTGAACTTGCAGGAAATGCTCGGGTTGCAGGTAGACATATTTAAGTCCGCGCACTTTCATTAGTTACTCGAGTTGAACATTTGCTTTCTGTGAATCAGGACTTCAAGAAGGGCTTGGGTTGTCGGACCATCAATATTCTGTGGCATTGACGGTAACATACATGTAAGCAATTGACTTGATCATGAAGCACCACAGCAGTATACCGTGATTGCCCATTCATTGGCAGCTAATTTGACGTGCTCTCTCTCTGAACCATTAGTCCGTATATTGTAAGTTTTCCATGATACCTCGAGTAATATGATTAGTGAATCACTTTTGCTGACCAGCATTGATGCTTAGATGGCTGAACTACCAGCGAATCTGTACCTCAAAAAGATTGGCCCCCACATCTTCCTACCAACAATTGTAACGATCTGGGGTATTGTTACCACGTTGCAAGGGTTTATCACCTCTTACAGCGGTCTAATCGCGACTCGGTCAGTTCTGCCTCCAACTTGAGATAGTTAGCAAGCATTTCCAACTGATATCGATGCCATGAACATGAGTCACAGATTTTTCCTTGGTTTAGTCGAAGGTAAGGTATTCTATGCACACGACCTGGTTCAAGGCTAACAAACATTGTTCTTTCCCTGTAACAGGCGGACTGTTTCCGGTGAGTTGTGAACAAACCGTTTTGTCCCAAACTCAATACGGAAATTGACCAACTGCATCATAACAGGGCATAGTCCTGTATCTTTCGACCTTTTATACTCGGTAAGGAAATTTGATCTCTACAAGTTGCTATTGGCCCCTCACTCATGTGTGTGTCTTCTGCTCTGTTCCATGGTCATGGCAGTCGCGAATTGCAGCTGCGCATTGCATTATTCTTCTCTGCGGCCTCGTTGTCAGGCGCCTTCTCAGGTTTATTGGCATATGGCTTGATCCGTTTAGATGGAGTGGGCGGCCGGCCAGGATGGGCTTGGATCTTCATTGTCCGTATCCTTGCGCTCAATTTTTCGTTCGACCATCCGAGAATCAAGGATACCAATCTCACACAATGTGCAACATGATTGATTCTCAAGGTCGAGGGTCTCTTTACCGTTCTGGGTGGCATTGTTGGCTATTTCATCATCCCCGCTACACCTACTGCGACCCGCTTCTTGAGTGCGAGACAAAAAGAGTCGGTTTCATTTGCCTGCATCTCGATCGAGTTATGAGGTGTTGGAAGTTTGATAGAGTTTGATGCTTACCAAAGAAATGTATCTTGCATTCAGAATCATATTGAAGCGTTTAGAGAGAGATCAACCTTTGACAGATATAGATGAACAGTTTTCCTGGTGGGAAGTTTGGGCATCACTCAAGAGCCCACACGTTTTATTCAACGTCGCCGCGTTGTTTGCATCGGGAACTTCTCTTTACAGCCTGGCATACTTTCAACCAACCAGTTGCGTCCAAGCGGCAAGCTTTTGAACATTCCACACATAGATGATTACTGACATGGGCTGCTTTCTTTTTTGGATCCAGTTGTCAACAGTGTAAGCTTTCTCCTTCCTAGCGACGCTTATGCCTTTCTGATCCTCTTTCTTCTGTGTTCAGCTTGGATACGATTCACATCAAACACAGCTGATGAGCGTACCTCCCTTCGCAGTTGCTTTTGTTTGTATGCCGATTTTGTCCAATTTCCAAACCACTATCTTTTGCTGACTATATGTATTTTGAAATCAGTCATGTTGGCGTCTGCCTATTGTTCAGATCGCTTTCAAGCCAGAGGGGCTACAACGTGCGGCGGTGCGATCCTCGGAGTAAGCAGAAGCTTGGACTCAAAATCTCCAATCCCATCCGTGAGATGTATAGACAGCTACTGATTGATATTGAATTGGTCTTCACGTTTGATTTCAAATGTAAACCGCCAGTTGATTGGCTTCATCATGTTCTTTCAAGCAGATCCGTCCCAAACCAAGCTCAAATACGCCTCACTATTTTTATCGGTGCCAGGAATTTACTCAATACCACCCTCCGTGGCTGCCTGGCTATCGAATAATAGCTTTGGTCATTATAGGAAAGCTGTCTCCATAGCTGTTGGGTTTGTTTCCGCTAATGGTGGAGGTATTTTGAGTACCTGGGTAAATCTGTCTCATCTGGTCTCCTAGATCCCAAATTTCTCTATCTAACGTCGCCTATCATCTTGCCATGATAGCTGTTCCCTCGTTCCGAGAGGCCCAAATTTCGCAGAGCCTGCATTATCAACATTGCATTGTGAGTGTATTTGATCCCTTGGAATATGTCTTTTGTCCTTCCCCTGCCCCCAAACAATTGTGATCGCTAAAACAGAATTTGACTATCTTCTTTTTTCCTTTTCCCATTCGTCGTCCTTGAAATCAGCTCTGGCGCCACTTTCTTATTTACAATCATGAACCTGTGTTGGCTTCGCTATGCGAACGTTCGAAAAAGGGCTAGGCGAGATAAATTGCTTCATGGCTATCAACTTGACACAAGTCAATCAAAGGTTGCTTATGCTGAAGGCATTCGCGCATGGAGAGAACTTGGGGATCAACACCCTGACTTCATCTACGCCTATTGAAAGTTGATGCTCACATAATGATAACGCTACAACGACATTATCTCTTGTTAGATGATCCTACACTCAAAAATTGAGGTGGAGAGTACATCCCATGATTCCTTCATCTTATCATTTTATCCCGCTCTTCGCAAGTCTACTTACTCTTGGAGGTTGAGAATTCTTGCACGTTGTTAATATTAGATTTTATTGTATACACGCTGTGTCACGAAATATAAAGATGTTACTGTTTTGCAAAGAGACGTTGCAGGAATCAATCCACACGCCAAAATGATCGCCTGTCTTGACAAATAGTGAAAAATTCGGCTCAAATCCGAACTCAATGGCAACCCACATTTACATCGGCAAAACGTTATATAAAAATGTAGTGTTTTCTTTTGATGGTATGACACAACATACTATGAAGTTTTCATTTGTGGGATACAAACATCAAAACCTGGGGTTTTCTATGTGAGTATAGTAAATATTGGATTCCATTGCAAGAGCAAGATCATTCTAGACAATGATAGCAATTATGATAGAAAGTGACATATAACTACAACAATTTATAATATCTGGAACCAAATGAATCGAAGACGAGTCTTCAAGTCCCCCCGCCCGAGCCCTTTATTCAGGGCTCGGGCGGGCGGAGACTTCGATAAGTTCAACTTGTAAATAATAAGCAGGGAGGTAGAGATGGATCATAACCGTCGAGACAGTCTTTTTAAACATTTAATCGTATGATTTAAAAAAAAAAAAAGTAGTAGAAAGAAAAGCAAAGCCTTTTTCTTGCTCCCACTTAGAAAAAAAAAAGTGTAAAGATATGGTAATCTGGACATCTACCGACAACTACGTTCTCTGCTCCGACTAGATGGCCGACCTCCCTAAGGTATACTAGTCCTTACTGTATTAACTTGTTCAGTTAGTGTTATATGCAATAAAGCCCAAAGCACTTGAAAAAAAAAAAAAAAAAAAAAAATAGCAAGAGTTTGAATTCCGCACTTGGATTCGAACGATTGGATCAAAAGTTGAACATATGACTTTGGACTTTGTGAGGTTAGTGATTCAGCATGATTCAATCAGCATTTTCTATCATTTACCTAATGCCTTAAAGTATCTTTTTTCCGGAGGGAAATCACTTTATGCTGGTAGCCCGCAGTTAAACCCTCTCAAAGCTAGTGCACTGCCGACCCGTCGAAGCAAGCACCGCTGAGGCGATGAGATTCAAGTTTATGAGATTCAAGTTCATAGTTTGGATCTCTTTGAAGTGTATGAAAGACGGATTCCGCAACGACAGTCGCCGCCTGCCTCGCTCAAAACCTGCGCCCTTCTCACGATTTCCCCAGGAGACTTTAGACTACTTTAGAGCATCGTGCTCAATACATGAGAGTTCGAGCTAGCGAGGTAATCATTTAGCAACGCGTTGATACTGTCAAATGATATAACACATTAGAGACCAGGCGCAGATTCGTGGCTCACGTTACTACTAAAAAGTCGTTATGGTACTCGTTTTACAGGATTTTTCACGGTTTCACTTCTGGAAGTGGTCACTTGATCGCTTTCATACGTCGTGCACAGCCCGATTGTCAACAAACATCGTCGAGCCTCACATAGTTTCAGTGAGGCTCGACATCATCTACGCAGCCGATGATGCGGGTCTACGCAGCTCTTGGCTTTCGCACCGAGCCTGATCTTTTATTAGTGATGGAATAAGAAGTGCCATTTCTATTCGTTTTTTGCAATCACTATTTCTGATGTTTTGCAAGCATCCTGCCGTTCCGCTGTGAGAAAATCAGTCTATTCGACGTTTTGGATGTTAAACTTTATAGTAGCTCAAAGTTAGAGCACGCTCAAGAACAGTTGTGAGAGTGTTAAGAGAAAACACTCGAACCTTTATAGTAGCTCAAAGTTAGAGCACGCTCAAGAACAGTTGTGAGAGTGTTAAGAGAAAACACTCGAACCTATTCAAGACGGACAAAAGGAACTGGACGTGAGGAAATGACTTTTGGACAATGATAATGAAAAGTTCAGATGGTATTTCTTTCTGCACACCTTTATAGTAGCTCAAAGTTAGAGCACGCTCAAGAACAGTTGTGAGAGTGTTAAGAGAAAACACTCGAACCTGAGAACAAAGTAAAGGAATTAATAAGAGAAAGAAATAGTAAAAAGTATGCTAGTATCTAACCTATTCAAGACGGACAAAAGGAACTGGACGTGAGGAAATGACTTTTGGACAATGATAATGAAAAGTTCAGATGGGAAAAAGAGGAACAACAGTTGCACACAGAAAAGAACTACTAATAGGTGAAAAACTTCTTTTCTCCATTTCCCAATCCGTCAACTCCTTTCCACATCATCCACGTTTCATCCCAATGGTTACATTGTCCCAATCCGTCAATAAAATGATCAAGTTGTGGTTGTCTAATAAGTTACCTAACCGGTGATGGTGAAGTAGCTTAGGTTCAAGACCCCCCCTCGCCACCATTACCGGGTAATTTTGATGGAGGCAATAGACCAAGACTGTCTCGAAACTTAACAAACTTTGTTCTATCAAGTGACTTTGTCATGATGTCAGCAATCATATGTTCTGTAGGGCAATATACTATGTTTAATGTTTCATCCTTGACCTTCTCACGAATCCAATGAAAATGAATCTCGACATGTTTTGTTCTTGCATGAAAAACTGGGTTTTTTGCTAATGCAATTGAGCCTTGATTGTCGCCGTAAAGTGTAGTTGAACATAAATTTTCAAATCCTAAATCCTTCATTAACCTCCTGATCCATACTCCCTCTTGTCCTGCATCCAAAAATCCACGATATTCTGCTTCAGTTGAAGAAAGCGCCACTGTAGGTTGCTTTTTGCTTCTCCACGTTAAAGCAGCTCCATTGAGTAAGAACACATACCCCGAGGTTGATCTTCTGGTGAGTGTACATCCAGCCCAATTTGAGTCAGAGAAAGCAATTGGAGTACTAGGTAATGGGGGTTTAGCATCATTCTGAAGGAAAGGCATATCAGTCTTTGATGTTAATTTACCATATACAAGAAATAAATGTTTTGATCCTCGTAGATACCGTAGAACACGCTTATAGCACTGCCAATGAGTCATTCCAGGTCTTTCGAGAAACTGAGATAATATACTGACTACATGAGCAAGGTCCGGTCTTGTGCATTGAGATAGATAATTGAGAGATCCTACTGCTGCACGATAGTCGTTTCCACTCGATATGAATGAATCGCGATCTTCCTCAGTAGCTATTCCAAGAACCTCATTTGCTTGCATGGGCGTGCCAATTGGTTTACAGTCCTCCATACCATTCTCCTTTAAAAGTCCATCAATATAACGCTCTTGAGAAAATGATATTTGGCGCTCAGCTCTATTTCTTATGACCTTCATTCCAAGTAACTGATCTACGTTTCCAAGATCCTTGATTTTAAATTCTTTCTTCAAACCTTCTAAAATCCAGTCTACGTCTTTTCCAGCAAGTGCCATATCGTCTACCCATACATATACATAAGACCTATGATGATTTTCATCTACATGTATAAAGAGGCACGGATCTGCATCACTAATATGAAAATCATTTGAAACAAACCAATCAGATACGGTCATATACCAGTTACGTGCCGGATTGCTTTAAACCGTATAAGGATTGAAGAACTTGTATGCAAGCGTCTGGATCATCGATAAGTATCTTGAAGCGTTGATAAACTATTGAATCAGTAGGCTATGATTGAATCCATTCAATGAATCTTTCTGGAGCCATGATATA